GGCATAGGAGAAGCCGGTGATCACAAAGCAGCCAAAGAGCACAATCCAGCCCCAGCCACCATCCGGGGGCTTCACGGGAGCTGGGAGCTGCCCTTCCTCTGGGTCAGGTCTCCCCATTGTCTAGCCTAGGAAGGGAAAGGCGGGAAGGAAGGAAGTAGGGCAACAGAGAGAGAGAGAGAGAAAATCTGAAGGGGGTGAAAGAAAAGAAGAGAAGAGAAGAGAAAAACAGAGCACGCAAACATTTACTACAAGGTTTGTCTCCATGCCCACCATCTCCAACCTCTGAGAGCCTCCCCAGAGGGACCGCATCAGCTCTTTGCACCTTCATCCTGCCAGGCAAGGCAGGATTAATTCTGGGTGCAAGGTCACGCCTCAGCTGGGCAAAGGTGGGAAGCTCCCCCTGAGCCTGGGGCAGCCCACAGCTCCATAACCTCCAGCCAGGCACAGCTGAGCACTGTCACAACTCCCAGCTGAGCCTGGAGAGCTGCATCTGATGTGGCATTAGGATCTGCAGCACCCCACTTGCTCCATATCCAACCTTGCCTGCAGGTGGTGTGAGGTGAAGACCAGTAATGTGAACCCTTTTGGTTCCCAAAATCTTCCTTTGAGCCTCTCCCATGCTGGTCTGCTCCAGCTGGGAGCCCTCCTGGACCTGCCCTGCTACAGAAACCTCCAGCAGTTGGGCAAGGAGATCCATTAAGCCCATTGTACTTTCCTCTAGGAGGCCCCGGTGCACAGTACTCTCCTTTGCCCTCGCTTCCCCGCTGCCAGGGGCCAGATTTTCGAAATAGGTGAAGGGGGAGAGAACGGAAAACCGGTGGTTATTTGCATGCCAGAGAGATTAGGGCTCTGTACCTACACAGAGGGGCCAGAACAAAGCCTAAGTGGGGTGAAGGAGGGAATTAAAGGGGATGTCTTGTGAGTTGCTCTCGGGGCTCTTAAGCTGCCCAGGAATTTCACTCCAGCTGGCTGCTGTGGGTATGTTTTTCATTTCTCCCTTAGGTACCAGGTCTCTGCCATGCCCCCTTCCAGCACCATTGGCCTCAGTTTCTTGGTCATTCAGGCTTATTTTCACACCTGTATGCAAAACCATCACTGGACTTTGATTATAGATGCTCCTGAGTAATGATCAAACAAGCATTCTCCATGCATGAGCTGGGCTTTTTGGGTCCATTTTGTCTTCTATCGTCACCATCTTTCTGGCAGTACACTTCCAATGTGGGTCCTCCCTCCTCCCCAGCTCCCTTGGCTGAAGGACTATGAGATAGCAGCAATGTCGCCATCCCTTGGCACTGGCAGTCGTGGGAAATGCCAGCAGTCACACATCAACTAGAGACTACTAAGGGGACAAGGACTGCCCTGTGGATGCGACACACGTGGCTAGAACCCGGTACTTTTGGATCTGGGTGCATTTCTCAGGAAGTACCTGTTTTTAGTGTCCTCCAAGCAATGGGGACAACTTGATCTGATTCCCATAGCTGCTGTTGCTCTGCATGTCAAACAAGCGCAAATCCTTTAGACAAAAGTGTGGAGGGCAAAAGCTGGGGCAGAGCCACATAAAGGGCCCTTGCTTGGCAAGAGGTGAACCTACCCTATCAGCCACTTTCAGCTGTATCCCTCCCTCCCCTCTGCAGGAGGCCCTTCTCCTGAAAACACAGAGGTGGTTATTCAGTGCAGCACCCAGATGCCTGTCACCAAAGTTCCCCAAACTTTCAAGACCCCATCAGCCATAAAAAAATGGAGTAGAATCTGGCTCTGAGCATGGACTGGGGCAACTCTTCTAGATAGCCATAACCTTGCAGCTCTCAGGCTGAACAACAGGGACTGGCACAGGCTACTTCAGACTCTCCCTCCCATCCCAGATCTCAGAGACTGTGGCAAGGGACAAAGGCATGAACTGAGAACACAGTGCTATAAGGACATTTTTAAGGCAAAGAATAATTACAAGGAAGAAAAGAATAATTATACGCTCTCCAGCTACCCATACTCCCATACCATACCCGTACCTCCAACTCCCCCCTCACACCCTTCCCAGTGTTTTCTGGATCACTGGCACCCTGACAACCAGATTGAACAGTCTCCTCAGCTTCTGCCATTACCTGCCTGCTGTTCGTCTCCCAGCTCCACTTGACTGATAAACTAGATCCGGTTGTACAAAAGGTGACCTGCTGCCAAAGCACACTGATTTCTCAATCACTGCTGGTGCTCCACCACTGCACTATGTGCTGCACGTAGCTACTTCAAATAAGAATGACTGCCAAACCACCAAATGCACCCTGACACTTTTTATCCAAGCCCCTCTCCCAGCCTCGCTCTTCTCGATCGCACCCCACACCACAAATCAAATTAATCAAACCACTGCTATTCATCTTTTCCTGAAACCCACAGCCCTCCACCAGCTTCCTAGCAAGAAAATATTTGTCTGTCTGTAACATGCTCTTCAGAGATTTCTGTAGCATTGCCTGTCAATGATGAGTTCACGGCGCCTCATTTTGAAGAGCAGGATAGACAAATATCCATCAGTGCTGTTGAGTTTGGAGCTGGATGGGTACCTCCACAGGAGCCACTTGCTTAGTGCTACACAACTGTACAGCAAAGGATTAAAGCGTTTTTACCTGCCTGCAGCTGTATGTTGGCTGAAAAAGTTGAAGTGCAACAGAGGAGCTCACCTGTGGAGATGCCTCCAAGGCCAATATGCTGTAGTACACCTCTGCTGGAGATTTATCCCAGTGCTGAGCCAGGCAGTTCAGAGCTGCCTTGTTCCTAACACAACACATATGCTTTTCAGCTCACGGCTGCACACAGTGGACACACCAGGTACCCTGCACCTGCCTTTGTGCGCTCTACAGCTTGCTATCATTTTCTCTTTAGTTAAGGAGCTTTATTCACAGGTAAAAATATCATGCATAAGTTCACATGCACCTAAAAGCTCATCAGCAAGACACCTATCCTTTCCAGTGCACCACAGAGCTGGCACTGCCACAGAGCTTGCTAAAGTGGGTGCAAGGAGAAGACGTGCGCCAGCACCAGAAGTCACAAGCCCAGGTTAGGAGGAAGAAGACCACAGCAAGTTGAGATGTGTCTGCCAGTCCCTGGACACACATAGAGCACAGTGCAGCCAGTGCAGGATGGTGCCCAGCAAAGCCCCACTGTGCCAGACAAGCTGCATCCAGGAGGATCCACAAAAATGCTAGGATGGCTCTTAGTACCTCCACACAGTACGGATGGGAGGGGGGGTCTGTTTATCAAGTGCATGGGCCACAGTTCATGCCACCAGCCTCCCCAGCCTACAGACAATGCTCTGGGAAAGCATTTCTTAGAGGATTAAATAAGTGCAGGCCTAGGTGAAGCTGTCCCAAAGGCTGTCAGAGCGAGCATTTCCCCACGCCACTGACCTGTGCAATGAAGCGATGACCTCCTGACAAGCTGAGCCTCCAAGGGCTGGGCAGACCCGTCAGCAGTGTTTCCTTCTCCCTCTGGCTGACACTTCCCAGCTCTAGATGAAGATACCTGGTTAGATGGTCCTGCTGGATCTTTGCTCCATGGTGGGCACAGGAATGGTGGGCCTACAGGAATCTAGCACCTGTTGAGCAGTCTCTTTTGCTCCACTTCTTCCTTCAGGGCAGATATGTCCTCACAAGACAGCTAATCACGTTCTCAGCCTGCTTTCCTCCAGTTCCAATGATGCCCAGCAAAGCTGCCCGTGGCCAATCTGGGAGGATGCTCTGTGTGGGGGACCCCCTTGCCTACTGTGCGTGCAAGTAGTGCCCTACGGCACTCCCAATGTGGATGTGGGTCAGCAGCTGCTTATGGTTTCAGGTCGGCAGAGACCAGCAGGTGCTGAGCGGGCAGAAAGCACTTCTGCACTTTTAAGAGGCTTTTCCAGCCAATGGGGACGAGGTGGCTGCCTGCCGCAGCCCGAATCCCTTGGTAATCCTGCTGCCCAGGGGCTCCTTGCCTTTCCCCCAGCAGAGTGGGGCAGGCTGGCAGGGCCAGATTCAGAGTGATCAAGTCAGGCAGAAGCAGAGTGAGGGTGGGGGGGTGTTGCTGGTGGACCAAGCCAGGAGTGAGAGTGCTGGGGAGGGGGTAGTGGAGGATGAGAGCATGGGCTCATGCTTCAATAAGGGGCAAAGTGGGTGAAGGTGCTGCTTTTGAAGCATCCCACCACTTCCTCAACTGCCAGCCAGAAGGATGAAGAAGAGCTGGAGAGGTTTGGCAGGGCATGTGCCCAGCAGAAAAGGAAGACAAGGTGCACTGCCAGCCATGGCTCAAACTGCCTGATCCAGCTCACTCCTGGCATCTCAATAATCCCCTCCAAAACACCCCCCTCAGTGGCTGCCTTACAAAGAACATCTGGCAACTGTGGGGGAACCCATTTACTTCCAGGGAGGGGGCTGGGGCTCACTTCAGCTGGTGTTTTGGGGAGGGAAAGGCTTGGGCTGTAAACCTCCTCAGCCTCTCAGTGGGGGGGCTGCAGGAACTTGGCAGCACTCACGGCTGGGGTTTAATGTCTATTAATAAGGCTAATCGGCTAAGCCTCGGCCATTGCTCCCGCTCCCTCCCTCGCTCACGCTGCCTCTCCCGTGAGGGCTCCCCCAGCACACATAGGGTATTCCCAGGCTGGTGAGGCCCCCACAGGTCCCAGGGGAGCATTTCCCCCTGCACTGAGCAGCGCCGGGGTGGGCGAGGAGCAGATGGCCTCCCAGGGAGGACATGCCTGCCCACACGTGGCAGCCGGGAAGTGGGGCCTTGCTGCCATCCAGTGGCACAACAGCCAGGGGGGCCCAAGGGGCAGCTGTTGGTGCAGTGCGTGGTGCAGCCCTGCTGGTGCCCTCCACATCCACTCTGGACTCCTGGACTGGCAGCTGCCCCATCTGGAGCTACAGCACTGCAGTGTCCAATGCCACGACCATGGGCAGCTGTCATGGCCCCAGTGCTGGTGGGCACCACCTGTCCTCCTCCTCCTGCATTCTATCAGGTGCTGGAATGGCTACACAAGCCATGTTCTCAATTTTATTTAAAAAAACCTACATATTTTCCACAGGACAGTGAGGGAGAGAGCACAGCAGCAGTGCTGGACATTCTCACCCTCTCCTGCCTTGCCCCAGGGCTGCTTAGCAAGGCAAGGGGCTGCCCTGGGGGTGAGAAGGGGCAGGTGCTGCTACAAAAGGACATGGTTGCCAAAGGAGCTAAACACAAACCCCATCAGCCAGACCATGTCACTGGAAACCTTGTAGCCTCCTCCTTTTGGGGTTCATTCTTCTGGTAGCAAAGGAACTGTTTGGTGAGAGTCCTTCTCTGCCCACAGCAGGGCTAGCAAAGCTTCACCTTCGATATTAAAATAGCAGTGCCCTGTGCTGCAGATGTTGTTACCCATCCATCCCCCGCCTCCCAGACCAACAGCATCCCCTCTCCCAGGCCACCATCACTTGTAAAACCAGACTTTTCCCACTCAAGTACAGTAACACCACATGGGGAGGGGGGACAAGGATCAGTCCAAAAAGAGCAGCAGGGATCTTCTGCTGGCTAAAGCACACCAGAAACCCAGGTGAGACAGGTCCCAGTGTCCCAGAGGTAAGGGAGGGGAAAAGAGAAGTCACTCCATGAGTGGTAGCACTAGGTTGCTGCCCAGCTGGGCAGTCCTTGTGTAGTCCTTGTCCTCTTCCTCCTTCTCTGCTGAAATTCTTCAATATCTGCAACCCTGCCTCATCGAATGATGGGTGCTGAGCGGTCATTGGTGACTGTGGGACGCAGCTTGACTGTGGCAAAGGGGTTGGTACCTCTGGAAAGGGAAAGGAAACAGGTAACCATGAAAAAATGTGCAAATGCTATGCAGGGATCCTTCTGACCAAGCAAAGGTTATTAGTCCTGCCGGGCAGTCACCTCCATGCCAAGGAGAGTGCGGTAAAGCTGTTTGCTGAGTATGTTTTCGCCCTCCTTAACACACCCTGCTGCAAGTTCCCATGTGGTTCTCCTTGGGCTTCTCACCCTCCCCCTTCCATAGGATGAAGAAGAGACATAAGAACACGGCTGTCCCTCCCAATAGCACTCTCTACTTGTAGCCCCCTGACCCTCCAGAAAAGGAGCCAGGGAGCAGAAAAAGGCCACAGTACCATGCCAGAAACATGGAGACACCAATCCAACTGCAGGGGGAAGGAAAGCAGGGATTTATGGCAAGTCTGATCTCCACAGACCTGACTCATCAAAACTAAAAGCCTTATGCCTCAGCCCTTTTCCAAGCTGGCCAAGCTCCCCAGTCATGTAGCTCCACGCTCAGGCTGTGAGCTGCTATTGTGGCTCTTGCAAAATGGATGGGAGAGAGTACACAGGTCTGAACACATGCTCAGGGTGCTCAAGCCTACCTCATTTTGTCAGAGTTAGGATAGAGCCTCTCCAGTCAGCAGAGGCCACAATGGGCAAACTCTGCCTCCTGTCCTGGAAGGCAGGCTATACATTGCTTTCCTCCAGACACCTCCTTGTTCCTCCCACATTTGATAACCCAAAAGATTAAATAATAATAGCATTGTAATAATGCTCCCCTTGTCTGAGGATTCCATAGCAGAGCTTCACATCTCACTCACCGTGGGAAGAGTTCAGGGGGCTGGTCAAATACTCCTGATTTCTGCAGTGAAAAGAAAAGCAGCAGTGAGCAATCTGATGCAGGGAATGGAGACAGAAAAGTGGGGCAGGAGACACAGCACACAGAGGAAGATTTAACAAAACACTTCCAGTGAGTTAGGAGCCCAAGTCCTATTAACAGGGTTCTGACTCCTTATTCATTCAAGCTTTGCGAAAGCCCACAAATTCCCTGCTAAGAAAAGAACCTGAATTTTGTGGTGGGGGGTTGTCCCTACACCAGAGGTTCCTTATTCCCCTAGGACACCTCCCTTTGTCTTAGGGAAGAAAGGAGACAGTTCAGATCCCCGAAGTGCCTTGTCTGAAGAGCACAGCAAACAGTGACAGTCTGAGCTACATTTCACCCTGCCAGCACAGCCAGAGATGCCCCCCTCATGCTGCCCACACACCCTGGCAAAGAGTTTATCGTCAGTGCCCTCGCATGCTTCCTGCATCCATGGGGAACTCAAGAACCGTACCTCCCTACTCTACACCACATATTGCTTAAATGTGGACAAACCCAATAAAGAAAGATGGATCTATGCCCTGTGGCCCTTATTCTTGGTCAGTAGATAGTGAGGGATCAGTGGCAACTGGCCTGCTAAAGTACACCACTTTCTGTAGCTGGTGGCAGACAAGGAAGCCACATGTGCCTATCTGTGATCCAGTTGCAAAGTCAAATGCATTGAGCCCATTTGCTTGTGGCTCAACTGGGGGATGTCTCAGGCATATGTTTAAAGCAAGGCAGACTCTTTCCAAACTTCTAATGCAGCTCAAGCACTCTGTCATGCCACTTCAAATGCTCCACACATTTCATTGCTCAATTCCAGGTCTATCCCCACACCCAAGCTCTGGGACTGGATGAAAACCAGTGACCCAGAGGGACAGAGAGGCTGCCGAGTCTGTTTCCCAGTGTTGTGAAGCCTGAGGCTACCTGAAACCACAGAGCAGGAGACAAAGGAGAAAAAAAGAGTAATTAAATGTTGTGGGTTTCAGATCATTGAGCAACCCAATTGTTTGCAACCTTGCACTGGCCTGGAACCAGGGATCAGAGACAAAGTTTCCCAGTCCTCCATGAGACCATGGGCAGCACCCTTCTTCCCCCTCTCAGGTCCTCACATTTAGTTGTCTTTAACTTTGTTCTCCCCAGTCAATTCCTCACAACTGGAAGTAGTGTTAAGTGGAGGGTTTCCTTCTTAGTGTGCCATCCATAAACGATGGGTTGCATATAACTTGTTCTGAGGCTCTCAAAAATGGCTGTGCCCTCATCCTTTACTCCCAGCCTTTCCCTATCCCAGCTGTGACATTAACTCAATGCTTGCCTGAACTTAGAAGAGGAGCCCTATGAAACTCCTCTCCATTCTCTGAAGGGAGATGAAGGATGGCATCTCTGTTAGCTGGTCACCCACTCCCAGCCCAGCCTGATCACTCCATGGTCCTACTCTTAGCAGAAAGAGGTGCTGCCCTGGAGCCACCAGAAATCAGGCTGGGAAGTCATGGAGAAAAGGACCGAACTGAAGGGTCCCTGGTGAGCAAAAAGAGAGAGAAATGAGAAAAGCAGGGGCGGAAATGCAGTCCGTTGTGGGAGCAAAGCCAGGCACTGAGGATCTGCACACACAAGGCTAGCTGGCAGGGGTCATCAGGACATGGTGACATGCGAACAGACTGGGTGAGAAAGGCTGGTGCTAACAAGACCCCTTAACTCAGGAAGGGAGCAGGTCCTTCACCATCTGGAAGGTGATTTTCTCCCTCTACCAGGCAGAGCAGAAAAGGTGTGCCTTGGAGGATGAAAGTCAGTGTGGCCCACTCCATACACACCCACCACTCACTCCTCCTGCACTCACCTTGGAGCCAGAACTGACTGGGGTGACTGCCCCACTCTGGTGACTGCTGGCACCCACCGAGAGGGGAGGTGGGTTCGGCACACTGGGCTGGGCAGCAGCAGGCCAGTAATTGCTAGAGGAGGGAGTGCTGGGACGGTCCAGGATGTCATCCATACTGTGACTGCTTCGCAGTGGGAAAGACCTGAGCAAGAGGAGAAGACAGTGGGGTAGGAGTCAAAGAGCAAGGAATAGGGAGTACCACCGGTGCTAGCCACAACACGGGATGCCTCTGGAGGAAATACACTTGGCTTGGACTGGCCCACTCACGAGCACCTTTGAGAAGACATTGCACGTGTTGGGAGAGCCACCTGGGGAAGCCTGTGAGATCTCAGGGCGTAATGAGGCTCTTGGCAGGTGTTCCAGCATGGGAGCCTTGCAGCTCTCCATGGGGCACACCCTAAACAATTACCCCACTGGCATATACTGACATGTCAGGAGCCACTCCACCTCCTGCCTGGCCAATTCCCCTCCTATTACCTGGTGTCTGGCTCTTCCATCTCCCGCGCATCCTCCAGAGGCTTGACATAAGCTTCAGGGAACCAGCCACACCTAGGGCACAGAAACAGACATATGAGGCCCAGGCAACCATGGTCTGTGGTTCTTCAGATCCAGCTGCCCAGCACTCCTATCTACACCCATCCCACATATCAACCAAGCCACTGCTGACACTACCCTGTGTGACAGGGCTCCTGAACTTCTTTCACCCGTAGGTGGGGCACGGTGTTATTCTGAGACAGACCTTGAGCTTGGAGCAGGACTTGCTTATCTCAGGGGCTGTGTAAAATCTGTGCTCCTGGGAGCAGTGTTGTCACAATACAGGAAGAGACACTCCAACTAACTGCAATCACAAGGAAGCTGTGGAAAACTCTTCCTGGGATTTTGCACCAACTCCACTCCAGAAACCCCCCTCACAAAGAGAGGCACTGCTCTTGTTCATCTCATATCTGAGGTTGAGCATTCCTGCAGAGCCTGGTGCAGGGATCCCACGTGATATGGGGCAGGCTTTCCACACACATGTTGGCCGGCAGTGCCACAGGGAGTAATTCAGTAAGCGCTGGGTGCAGCAGTTTCCATGTCCTGCCGGTGCTGGAGGCTGTGGCAGCAGTTGCAGTGTGAGTTAAGGCCTCTCAGGTAACTCCAGCAGTTCATGGCCCTGAGCTGGATCCCATGACAGGAGTCACTCAGTCATGCAAGCCAGGAGGAGGGTCACTGCATCCCTGACTCTTCCTCAAAGCCCCTGGAGCTTCCTCAGACAGCTCATCTATGCTAGCCCTGCCCCACCCCATCTCCTTGGCTTGGAGAGCCCCCATTCCTGAGGACATAGTGATGTCCCACTGAGATGGTGGGTGAGAGACATAGTGCCCAGGCCACACCAGGAGGGGAGGATGGATGATAATTTTGGGCTTAACCCCCCCAGCTCCAGACCCAACAAGCCTGCATCAGGCCAATTTACAGCATCAGAGTCACATACGTGGACGAGCCCTCCAGTTTGCCATACAGCCAGCCATTCTGTGCATCCGGCATCAGCACCGTGATGACATCCCCGGGGTCAAACCGTAGCAGAGTCCGGTTGGCACCCGTGGCGTGGGGCACGATAGCCTGCACTTTTGCCATGCCACTCCTCTTCCTGCCCTCGCTGCCACTGCTGGCCTTGCTGAAGGAACCTGAACGGGAAGTACGGCCTGTAGGGAGCAAACCTGCAGGGAGGCATCCAAGGAGTCTGGCTGGAGTTTGGCATCCTCCTGTAAGACCCACACTGCCTCAAAGGGACCAGTGCTTCCCCAGGCAAGTAATTGCTCTAGAGGAGGAGTAGATGGACTTTCTCTCAGGGAGAGAACAGGGCATAGCATGGGCAAAGAATGGTAAGCATCTTGCAGGAGAAAATCAACTGAAGTCAAAACCATTTGCTTTGCACTGTGTCCTCTTCTGCCAAATGTCTAGAACATAGACACTGCACGCCACGGCTGATGCCCTGCCTGACAGTCCTCTTCCTGACCCTGCTAGAGCTACTGACTATTTGGGTAATTTTTATCTCCCCCTGCCCCTTTTTACTTTTTTAAACACTTAAAGCTGAAATCTCTCCAGAAGGAAAAGCAGGTGTGTCATGAGGCAAGTGGCTGGGTTTCATAGGGCAAGCTAATATTAAATCTGTAGCATGAGGGAAGGTGCTTTACTAAAATGCTCCAACAAGAGCAAGCTCTTATGGTCCAAGGAGCCTTGAAAACTGCACATCTGTGGGTCCCCCACTTCATACAGCCAGCCAGGAATCCTGGCCTTGCCCTGGATGGATCCTGCCCTGAAGGCTGAGCTCACCTTCTACTTCAGCCTTGCCCTCTCCATCTCCCAGCACTCTGCTCTTACCATGCCCAGGAATGTGGCTGAGGACTGGTGGTCTGATAGAGTGGTAGTCCCTTCCCAAACCCAACCCTCTTCCCAGAGAGGTCCAACCCCTGTGTCTCCCCACAACACTGCTCCCAGATATGGGTCATACTGGCTGATGGTGTCCTCCTCAGTGGCTGCCTGGGGGACTCCGGCTGAGGAGACAGTCTCATTTCTGGAGGGTCTGGAGAGAAGATGCTGGATCTACTGCCAGTCATAGAAGAGGCAAAGTCCCCGAGGGGTCTCTGGGGCTGTTGGAAGGAAAGGAGGCTGAATACACATCTACAGGGGCTGTGTGAGGCAGATGATGCTCTGAGAGATCTGAAGTTCCACTCAGAAAGCCAAACATAGCACATTCCCCCATTGCAGCCCATACGCATGCTTCTCTTCATCTTGGCCAGGAAAGGCCATGGAAGCTGGACAAGGCAGCGAGTACCATGGCCATCTAGTCCAACCCCCTTCAATAAGCAGGGACATCTTTGACTAGATCGGGTTTCTCAGAGCCCTCTCCAGCCTGACCTTGATGGGGCATCCACCACTTCTCTGGGCAACCTGTTCCAATAGTGCCTCAAACAAGGCGAAGCTGTGGGCGCCTCACCATCTCAAGGTGAGTGGGTGTGAGCCGTCCTGATGGATACCCCTGGCCGTGGGAGGCTGCGAGCAGACCCTGTGAGTGGCTGTTTGAGGGGTTGCGGCTGGCCTCCAGCTGCTCCTTCCACCGTGGTGCCTTGTTCTGGATCATGCCCCGAGCCTGGGCAGAAAGAGAAAAGAGGGAGTGATGGACAGGGCAGAACAGCTACAAAGGGACCCTAGGGCTGACACATGTGTTAAATTAGGGAACAGGTCCTCCCACAATTAGATTTGTGGGAATAGCCAAACAGCATCCTACAGGAGTGAATTTTCAGGATGGCAGGGATCCTGGGGTATAAATGACACTGCTACAAACACATCACCCTTCTCTCCTCCATCACTCACACACCCAACTAACCCTGTGTCAGCACCATCCTCAGCCCCAGCCATGTTCTCCCAGCCTAATACAGGCAGCCTGAATCTCACAGCAAGAAAGGAAATAGAGTTTCCTGCCCAGTCCATGCACAGATGCTGCCTTCACCCAAGGGGCAGCTCAACCCTGGCTCCCTCTGCCCACATGCTCCCTCTCCAGCCCTGCTGCCTGCTCCCAAGCTCTGCTCCCCAACATGTCAGGGCCATACCCTGCTGTAAAACTGGAGGAGAGTGTTGTAGAGCATCTGGTGCTTTTCAGCCAGGAAGCGGTAGCGGCGTTTCTCCTCTAGCTCAGCCTCTCTCTGGCTCTCAGCGACAAACACCTGCATCTCTGAGCGCAGTCGCATCACATTCTCCTGCACCACAGGGAAAAAAGGGAGGAAGGGATCAGTGAAAATCCAGCAAAGTGGGCTCACACATTGCATGGGAAGGGTTGAAAGGAGTCATCATGTCAATGAGCTTCCCAGTTCACTTGCAGTGCTGGAGCACCACAGAGGAGATAGAGCAGAGTGCCAGGGATTAAGTCCTTGCACACTGAGGCTTCCTAAGTGAGGAAAAGGCTTGGCAGGAATGAGTACCACAGGTCAGTAGCACCCTGTGGAATAGGAGTTTCCTACTTTACAGATAAACCTGCTGCCTTTTGAATACTGGGGGCAACTCTGTGGCTAAGGTAACTGAAAAATCAGCCCTGGCTCCACAGAAATCATCCAGTTCTTTTTTCCAGCTCCCCTTCCTGGAATCACTGCTTACCTTCATCTCCCGTGTATTTTTATCACGAGCCCTCTCCATTCTCCACAGCTCTGCCATGCACTTATCCAGGTTGGTGGCTCTGCGCTGGTACTCCAGCTCATAGTGCTTCTGGCTCTCCTGCCAGGGAGAAACCAGGCTCAGTGAGGAACCAGAGACCCAGACACACTGTGAAGCAACAAGGGTTCTGCTCTGATGCGTAGTTGTACATCTGAGTCCCCCTGAAATCAGGCTTCACCTGGACTTCTTATAAAAAGTCTTTCTTTACCTTTCTTTTCATTTTGAATGGCCTCAGAGTGTTGATGAACCTCAAGACCTCAGGAGCAAGAACTGGCACCCAGCTGCCCCAGGCCTCTATCTCCCTCCGTGACACTACCTACCAACATGGCCAGCTGGGCCATAATGGCAGAGGACCCACAGCAGAGGCTGTGATTTGGGAAAGCTGGGAACTCTGCTATTGGGATGCCAAGTCTCTCAGCCCCACTGAAGCATTTGGCAATTCCCACTATGGAAAGAACAGCCACCTGCCCTCTTCAGCTCTCCATCATCAGCCAAACAAGAGGAGTTTGTTCCGTGATGGGAGAAGAAAAGCCACCCCAACTCCTCCTGAGAAAAGTCAAGGAAAAACTTCAAGTGCTCAAGCAAAAACCCTTGGGTAGATGGGAGAAGAAAACAAGGAGGGCTGAGGAGGAGAAGGGAGTTCATCACTCACACTGATGAACTGCACATCCATTTTGCTGTTCTTCTCCATGTGCTGCAGCAGGTCCACGTGAAAGGTCTGAGCCTGAAAGAAGTGAAGGAGCCATCACTCTTGTCCCTTCAGCAAGCGGGGTGTTGCATGCACTGTGGTGAGGGGTGGCTCATAAAACTTGCTGTGCCAGACACTCCCTTGCCACCTGGATGCACCTGCCAGGCTCTGCCATCCCAGCTGCAGTGGCAGCTCCGTAACACTCCTCTGTCACGTGGGATAGCAGGGAGGCAGGCACCTGCCTGCGGGCTCATATGAGGGCAGGTGAATGCAATAAATGCTGATAAGCTGCACTTAAGGAAGTGCCTTTATTTCCCACCTCCACCAGCCCTCAGGAAAACCACTCACCACAATCTCCAAATCAGAGCTCAGTAACCTCTGCATATCAGACATCTGCATAAGAATTTCACCTTCAAAGAAAAAGACAGGAGAAGGTTTAAAAATCCTGCGGCCATTTCCCTGTGTGCTCAAGGAGGCAGACCAGCATGATGCAACTCAGGCTGATTAAACACAGGTATGAAAGTCCAAGAGATATCACAAAGCACTGCTCTCTGCACCCTGAGAGAGGGTGGTAGCCTTCCTCCCCAGGCACTGACAACACGGGGTTGCTCCAGCCCACGAAGTGGTGGGACCAGTGTTCTCTTTTGGCACCAGGTGCCAGCAGGCGCCTTGCCTCTGCCATGGGCTCTGGGCATTGGGTTTCTGCTCTGCCATAGGCCCTACAGGTGCCATTTCTAATGCCAGTGGCACCCCAACTGCTGTGCACAGTTGTGGCTGCCCTATGGGAAAGCAGCCACAGACCTGCTGCTGATGCTGTGCTTGGTCCTGCTTCACCGGTGTCAGTATTATGAAATCAGGAAAGGAAGAGACTGACGACAGGGAGCAGAGGAGCTAGCTGGGAGGTGCATATGACAACAGGAGTCTGCAGAAGGGACACATCTGCTGGAAGCTTTTCACTAAAATGTTCAGCAGTAGGCAGTTCCCTGAGCACATTTTCAGCAGTCGCCACTAGGCTGCAGAGTTATTTGCACTGCTGAGTGTAAGCCCCTCAGCCCCAAGCTGCCATTCCACCTGGTTGCAGGCTCAGGAGGACAAGACCTCATCAGCTGTTGTCAGTGCATGCTCTCCAGCTTTTTCCCCCACACCTGTAAGGAGGAAGAAAATGGTTCCTCCCTGACGAAAATTTCATCTCTCAGGGAAGGAGGACTTAACAAGGACTGGTTTCCATAAGAGGCCCATCATTGGAGGTCCATCCCAAGAGGTGGGCTCAGTCATTGATCTCAGAGAGATACAGAGACTGTGAGAGATATTCAAGGACACACAATAAATTTGACTCTCAGCACCTGGACAGGGCCTGGTGTGGTGAGACCATTTACAGGAGCTATCTTTCTTCCCTCTATTCCTGGAAAGAGACCAGCTAAGGGAGAAGGCCAAAAAAACCTAACTGTGGCTCATCATAGGAGTATGGTGTGCAGGAGAGCCTTACCCAGCATGTGTGAGGTGGAGCTCTGCAGAGCTTGCTCCCCAATCTTCTCAATTGCCTTAAAGTACACTTCAGCTGCTTTGGATAATGCTGTGAGGAGAGAAGAGGAGAGAGGAAGGAGATAAGGGTCTAGCCTGCCTTCCCACCATCACCAGCTCCAGCAAGCAGCACACAGAACAGCCACCCCCTGGTACGTCGCCTATAGGCAACGGCACCCCATCTCTCCCCATCAGCAGCAGGTCCTGGAGTAGAAGAGTACTTAAGGGCAGCTCAGGACGTGTCAAAGGTGGCGGATCAGCAACCTTGTCCTGGGTGACAGCACAGAAGATGCCCAGGATGGATGCAGCAGTATGGTCTGGAGCCCTGGCTGGGCGGGACCCCACTCACTGTGGAAGGCACGCAGGTAGTTGTTCCCCAGGTACACCAGGTTCTCCAGCGCAGGGTTGAACTGCTCCAGGATACTCTGTGGTCAGGCAGAAGCACGTTAATGCTGTTTTTCCCCACACTCCAGAGACTTCAGCAAGCTGATGCCCTCTTGCTGCAGTTTGGCTGGATGAGAGCTCCCCAGCCACAGCACAGGCTGGCTGTGGGGATGTACAGCCGAGCACAAAGTCAGCTCCCTGCAGTGGAGGTGGCTAGGAATTTTGGCTGCCCTTAGTCTTCCAGGAGAGGAAGCCAGCCAGGAGAGGAGCAGTGCCAGAGGGCAAGGTAGCCCACTGCAGAGCCAAGGGGTTGCCTGACTGAATATGGCTTTCTCCCAAGGTCCTACACCCATTGCAGGCAGGGGAGTAAGTGCAAGGGGATCTGAACAGCCTTTCCCCTCATCCCAGAACCGGCCAGGGTGAGAGCCACTGTTTATTATCTAGGCACGGACACAACTCTTTCCTGGCCAGGATGTGGTGCACTGCCAGACTCAGGAGCTTAGTAAGAGAAAGGATAGACTGCTTCACACCAGCCTTTCCGCTTTTATTTGTTGTATTTATCAAAGGTGTTCATTGACTACAGAGAAGACCAGAGATTCGAATAAGCAATTCCCCCTTCTGCCAGCCCCCATCACCTCAATTCAGCACTAAAGTGTGCAAGGAAACATTTATAAAGATCAGACAGCTCTTTCCAGTGAGGGAGAAAACAGCCGATCAAACTTCTTCCTACCAGCAACCAAGGTGGTTCACCCTTCATGCTCCATGCCCCAACCACCCTGGTTGCGCAATTCCTTCCCGAATCTGCCTCTAGGACCCACACCATCATCTCCTCCTGCCAGCCATCTGCTCACAAACACAGCTCAGAGCCCACAGGAGCTGCTGGAGTTCTGCCTGCAAAGGGATTCAGCCCTCAGCTGTCCACCCAAGGGAGCCTTTGGCAGAAAACAGCTCTTCTCCCACCCATACGTCTCCCCTATGCCAACAGGAGCAGTCTTTGATGCCAGCACTCACCTTATAGATGGAGATGGTGGATCTGTAGGACAGATCCATCTCTGGAGCCTATTCCCTTTCCCACGGAGAAGCAAGGAGCAAAGGAGAGTACCAGGTGCTATAATGGCCTGGAGGGCTCTGCTTCTGCACAGCCAGCTGGATGGAAAGAGCCCGTCACTGGCAAGAAAGGACAGCAGGAAGACACAGATGTGGTACAAAGGGAGCACTGATGGAGTTTAATAATTCACCAGCCAAGAGACTGGAACTTGATCTCTGGAAGTAACCAAACCCTGGGGAGAGAGGAATCCTGTGACAGCCAGTAAGGACATGTGACCGCCTCCTTGCATTATTGATTGCCAGCTTGGTACCCAGCTCTCCCTGTCCTGACACCTGCAGGGCCGGCCGCCTGCCTGAGTAGACGCCTTATGGTTCGCTGCCTCCGTCACTGCCACTGCTCGGAGGTGGCTTGTCCAGCCCTGCTGTGCTAGTGGAGCATCCTCAGGTCTCTCTCATGCAGACACCTTGGGAGTCAGGAGATCCCCATCAGCTTGCAATGGCAGGCAGCAAATAGCAGCAGGCGGGGAGAATGCAAGGAAAGCTCAAAACAAATGTAAACTCTTCCCTGCCCACTATTCCCTCTAACCAGGCTCCCTCCCACACCCACTCTCAGAGATTCCCTAACAGCAGGAACAGGCTTCTGTCTAAACCCTTTCCCAGGTTTCATGTCTGGTGAGCTGGGACTGGCACTGCCATTGCAAGTGCTCCTGGCACACACCTGGCAGAGAAGGACAAAGCAAAGCCCAGTCCGAGCCTCCCCTGGCAGCACCCGTCCCAGTCCAGAGCAGCAGGCAAAAGGCTCACAACTGTTTGCTCAGGACGGGCCTGAAGGTCTCCATGTCACAGCCTGGCTCAGGCAGCTGAGGAGCTGATGGATGCAGACTGGGTCACACAGCCCACAGCCCCTGCACTCCCCAACATCTACTGCCAGCAGGGGAGCAGGGATGCTCCTCTGGTTTCCAGACCAAGGACACAACAGCTGAGCAGCTCACAGGGCCCTCACCCTGAGCTGCCCTGACTCTGGCTGGGACTGGGTTAATTTTCTCCCCAGTAGCCAGTACAGTGCTGTGTGTTGGACTTGGTATGAGAATAATGTTGATAACACACCAGTGTTGTAGTTGTTGCTAAGTAGTGGCTTACTCTAAGCCTGATCTCCCCATCTGCATGCAAGGAACCTGCTCCAGGAAGTCCCTGCAGACTTATAAAGAGGGGGGGCAGAGTGCAAGCCAGGGGCAAAAAGCAGAAAGGAGCTTAGGGTCTCTCCATCTTAAGTTCTGTTTTTCTACAAGAAGGTAAGGCCCTCTGTTATACAGGAAAAGAAGACTTTTACTCTGCCTAAAATCCTCCTAATTCCACAATCTCATTTGTGAAATTGAAGATCAGAAGGCAGATAATCAGTTTTTAGACCTACTCATGACTCAGCACCTCAGTGGTGTCCTGTAGGAACCATTGGGCAGCAGGTCCAGCAGGTTTGCAGCAGTTACCTTATCAGGGAACCACTTGGGGATACCAAAATTAAAGCCCCATCTCCAGCCTTTTGTATCCCAAAAGTGTTCTACTTTTTGGGCCTGGCCAGCTCTAAGAGGATCCTGATATTGCAGCTGGTCCAAAGCCTTTTTCCTCTCATTGCAATTATTGTGGAACTATCAGCCACTCACACCACATATGTGCTCCCAGGGCTGTCTGCAAGGATAGGTCATTCACCTCTTGGTATAATCCTGTGTCTCAAGGAGCCCTATTCCTGATTGTGTACCTGGAAGAAATTCAGAGGCTGCAAGCTCAGAAGCCCTCTGGGAATTTGCAGGATAGAGAGAGAGAGAGAGAGAGAGAGAGAGAGGACAACCATTGACTGCATGACATCAGAAACAAATGCAAATCCCTCTTTATTTCAGGTCATGTCAGTTTTTCACAGAAGCCCTGTTGGCAACAGCAGTCCATTCAGTCAAAAGCAAAGGATTAAAAATTCAATTTTTTGGGGTACTCCTCAAAATGCCTCCAAATACATACATGTTATTTATAAATATGCAAAATTTATGACAGAAACAATGGCTAGTATAGCAGTTACAGTGAAATTTCCAGTAGTAAAAAAAAGTAAACCCAAATTGTCAAAGGGTCAGCTTCTTTGAAGGGAACTGATCTCAGAGCATTTCAATTCCATACTAAGATAAATGACCTCTCTACTAAGCCAAGGCTCTTGTCCCTTACCCTGAGCTTGCTGCAAGTAAAGTCAGGCTTTCACATCTCAGCCCTTGAGCAAAGAGCAGCACAGCAAATCAGGTGGCACAAAAAGCCCTGGGTGGGAGGGGTCTGCTCCCACCCTAGGCACAGTCAGTACCTATGTTGCCAGCCCATCTCAGAGGGGAAAGAAGCTGCTACAGAAAACCTGCCTCAGGAAAGGTTTGCCCTTCTCCCAAGGCCAGCTGCAACATTCTGTGTCATATCTACTCCAAAAAGTTGAAGCATTTCTGCTTCCCTTCAAACTGGGTGTGTTGAAGGAAAAATAATCCCTTTTTCCCATACTATACACTCTGAAATAACTTGGCCCCAGTGGGCCAAGCAATCCCTGAAGCTGTCATCAGGTCTTAGCCCATTCTGTGACGTGGGAAGGTGCACGGTGTTTTGTCAGTGGAGGTACTGCACACACAGGAGACATTCCAGCTGCTACAACTCAAGACAGGTAGGTGGGGGCTCTGGATTCTGAGTCAGACAGCAAGGCAGCAACACCAAGCACAGCAGCAGAGACAGGGCTACAGAACAAGGATAACTGTCAGCATTTCATAGCTGTCCAGGAATACATGTGTATGTGCACTGTTGTCTATTAAATATTATTAGTTCCTCATAATTATCACTAGTCCCTCCCCCAGCTCAACACCTTGGTTGAAGGGCAAATCTGAGCCATTTCAGTGTCTGCTGCCCCTTGCCTTTGGCATGCAGAATGGGAACCTCCAGGTCAGTCATCGGCAGAGATGTTGCACCAGCTGCTCGAACTGCTCCCGGTGCTGGTAGATGTACAGCTGGGTGTCCCAGAGAGCGTTCACCAGCACTGTGTCATTCACCTCGTCCAGCATCACCTCCGTGTGCAGCTGAGGGCTGAGCCTGCAGACACCAAGACAGCATCACCAGCTGGGCACAGATGCGGAGGTGGTCAGGCACAAGCCTGCCAAGCAGGAGACTTTTGCCAAGGGGCTCCTGCCACCGAGATGCTCACTGGCCCTGTATCTGTCAGACTTGCAGAGCCACAGTTCAGCAACCGCAGCACATGAGGGACAAATCTAAAACAGGCTGTGCGTGGTGGAATGGGGCAGGATGCACATCCCGAAGGACCATGCAAGACAGCAACCTGCAAGCCTCCACTAAGTGTCCCCAGACCAGGTGTGCTTGGAGCATCAGTTCATGCAGAAGCCAGGGCATCCTCTGTTGTGTCACTGAGGCATGAGGGTAGTGGGCAGGGGACAGGTTTGGGCAGGCATGCCTCTGGAGGGGATGCTTTTTGGGATGACGCATGCCACAGCCAGGTCTGAAGTGAGAGGGATAAAAATAGATCTGTGCAGACAGTGGAAAGGAAGCTCCTACCGGAAATATGGGACATCCGTCATCTCACACCAGGCCCTGGCACGATCCACAGCTGGGCCATCTGCGTCAGTGCACTGCAGGAGAAACAGGCCCACAGTTACAGCCTGACTGCTCTTCCCCTGCCTGCAAGACACTTCCCTGGCACCAAGTTGAACTGCACAAGCTGCAGAGGGAAAAGGAAAACCAGGAGCAAGTTCATCCTGGATGGCCCTGCTTGCCACCAAGAGTGAGGCACCTTTTTATTTATTTATTTTTATTTTTAACATAAGAACAGTGCTCCTGATCTTTGGGATACAAGGAATTGCACCCTACAGATCCTCCATACATCAGAGCATTGAGTAGACTCCCTTAAAGAAACTTCCAGGAGGACATGAATGACAGCCTCCTTGGGATTTTATTCATTCTGTCCAAGCCCTGTAACAGCACAGCCTGTGATTACTACTATCGTGGCACAGCTCCCTGGGAGCCCTGAAATAAAAGACAGGGGAAGCAGAGGGACTCCAGGCACTTTCTGACTTTAGGAAATTAAAAAGGAGATAAAGCAACAGAATTAAGATTACGGTCAGAACTTCCATTCTGATCCTTCTGGCTTTCATTCATTTGGAGTGTTTTCATGCACAACAGTTCATGATCTTCTTTCTGAAACATGCAAGCTCTCATTCCTATTACACACTCCTAACCACAGCTCTCAAAACCTGTTTTTTATTAGTGACTCTTTCACTTCTCTAGCGTTTACTGATTTCCCCAGTGGGGACAACAAGGCTTTTCTAAAGAAAAATGAATTGCTCTTTTCCAAGGAATGACTTTTTTTTTTTTTGGCCTGGGTTGCTCATATGGTAATCAATGCTGCAAATGTTCACTGACCACCATCCTGTCCTCAGCCCCTTTCAGCTGCAAGAACCTGCCTTGGAACTCAAAACCCCAAAGAAGCAGACAGGTCTTCAGACCTGCTGTGCTCCCGCAATTTTTAAGTTACCCACTACATCCATGGTCAGAGCAGTTCCAAAGAAATAGAATTTACTTCCAAAAGGAAGAAGCTGAAGACTGGAAACTTTTTCTCCCTCCCTGCAAGCAACTCCAGGGGTATTTCCCCATCCCCTCCTCCCAGTACTCACACAATCCACCACCATCTTGCCAAGTTCCCTGGCCCCAAAGACAGTCTTCGCCAGCTCCCAAGGGTTGGAGGGGCGGAAAACATCCACAGAGCTCACTGGGATCTGCGGAGGCTTCCCTGTCCCCAGGGAGACCACCAACCCCAATTTTCTTACTTCCTGCCTCCGACCCTGTGGACAAACAAAAGATTTGTTTACTAGAACCAACAACGAAGGCAGAGCATGTCTTTCACAGCAGTCCTGGGGAAGCTCTGAAAGCCAAGGCAAAAGGCTCAGTAGTCTTTTCTCTCCCCTTAAGTACAGCCTGGTGAGACAGGTGTGTAACCCACAGGAGTTCAACGGTTGCACTGTTCTGTCCCTTATCCCCCTGACTGCACCCAAATTCATGGGAACACCCTGGAGATGAGTCTCGGGACCAGATGACCATGAAACAGTACAACTCTTCAGTCATTGTGACAACACACCTTCCCTTTCAACTACAGGGAACAACAGTTGCCAGTAGTTAT